CGCTCGCTGGACTCAAGAGTTTTTGCAATCCAGAGCCAATCCAATTTTCATTGCAGCACTTTTTTTCCACCAGAGACCCAACACAGCCTGAACTGTTTATCACGCTATCTTGCCTGCTTTCCCACTTTTTGCCGCCACACACGAATGAAAAAGAAACCCCCTCTTCATTTATAGCAGAATAAAAAATGCTCTAAAGCTTTTAGCTTTCAAAGCAGTTAAGTTTGCCTCAGGTGAACCATGAAGTTTTCTCTCCTCCGAAATAGGCTAAAACGTCAAGCTGTTTTTCCTTCACTTTTCTCTTTTTCTGCTACAAAGAACAGATTTTTCATCCTACTGTAAAAAACAAATGCCAGAATTAAAGCACATCAAGTAAGCACTCTTTCAAAATCTTCTAAAATTCAAGGAAGGAAGAAATGTAATCATCTAAAAAATAAAGAGAAGCAGCATTAAAAATCTGACTTCCTGGCTTCACAATTTCTCTAGGTATTTTCCTTGCTTGTTTGATCGGATCTTTCCTTCTTGATGCTTGTCTACAGCACAGATTCATAGTTCCAGACACAACATTTGCAGCTGTACAAGAAGGAAACATATGAAGTATTCCAATTGTTTTATTTGAATAACATTTATGAGCTCAATTAATTAGTATTTATACCACACTAAGTGAAAAGAGGAAAAAGGAGAGGGAAAACAATATGCAAGTTTGATGACCTGGTTAACTCAAGAAGGATAACGAAGTTTGCTCAGTTCAATGCCTGGACTTGTCCCATAGTTTCTCAACTTAATTACTTCCAGTCATCATTACTAAACATAGGGTCACGATTTATTAGTCCATTCAAAATCTATTGAGCCCAAAGCAAAATGTGCCAAAGATCATACATTATTCCTTTGCAATAACAAACTCGGGTTTCCTCTGCCTTCTGTGTTCTTCTGTTTCCTTTGCAGCTATTGATTTAGACTGTGGAGGTATTTATTAGGCTTTTTCTGTGCAGAGTGTGTTTTTTCTTCCTCTTCTTGCAAACTTTTTTCACCTGTGAAGACCATGTGGAAAGCTGAACATTACTGGCAGGTGTCTTTCCATGGGTTACTGATTCCTGTGCTGTAAAGGTGCTCCATCTGGTTCTCAAATTAATTTTCATCAATTGCAAAGCTCTCAGGAAGATACAAGAGTAAGTCTATGGGATGACAAAAACATGTGCATTTTCATGTACATGAAGTACACACACCAGCTCACTCAATCTGGTACTCAGAACTGCATCTGCCTTTTCAATTTAGTTGTGGTGATCTTGTAAGATGCCTGTCGTTCAAAGCTTGAAATTCTTGGATTTTTCAACTCTGCAAGACAAAGCACACACATACAGACATACACAAACACAAAAAAAGAGTTAATAAAATAGGCCACAAAACAAGTTATAGCTACAAGGACTATTATTGCAGTAATCAAAGTGTTATGATTAAGGATTTTATAATGGACTCCTATAACATATCTGTATTAGATATAGATATATGTAATATTCAGACACACATATAGATCTATTTGATACACACACAAATATGAACTGGAAAATTTTCTTTTTCATTTCCAGAGTTCCCAAAATTTTCCACAACTGACATGTATAACTAACAAAATGTATCCAGAAAGGATACATTAGGGGGGTGGAAAGGAACTTTATTTAGGCCACAGTCACGAGGGCAAACTCTTAAATAAAGATTCCACAACTTTGGAGTGAGGGAAGTGAGCTCTCAGTGACAGAGTGGACACAGAGTTAGACCCTGAGGCATACAAACAGAATCACAGAATGGTTGAGCTTGGAAGGGACACCTGGACATTGTCTGGTCCAATCACCCTGTTCAAGCAGGGTCAGCTAAAGCCAGTTGCCCAGGACTGCATCCAGGAGGCTTTTGAATACTTCTAAGGATGGAGAATCCACAACCTCTCAGAGCAACCTGTGCCAGTGTTCCATCACCCTCATAGTAAAAAAGCGTTTCCTGATGTTCAGCGGGAACCTCCTGTGTGCCCATTGCCTCTGGTCCTGCAACTGGGCACCAATGTCAACAGCCTGGCCCCCTCACCTCCATTCCCCCCCATCAAGCATTTATACATATTTAAAATATCTTCCTGAGCATTTTATTCTGCAGGCTGAACAGTCCCAGCTCTCTCAGACTTGCCTCATATGAAAGATGCTCCAAACCATGGAAGCACAGGGCTAAACCCATCAGTCTCAAAGGAGACTGAGAAGATTACTCCAGGGCTTAAATCACTTAAAGTACTGCTTTAAAGAGGTAGAAGGAACTCCAAAATTAGAAGTTTGAATCAATACAGATGAATTTTAAAGACTATTCAAATCTTGTCAATTTGAAAAAAGGGGGGAAAATAATCAATCAAATTCTGTTTTATACAGAAGAGTGCTAATAGAATAGACCAAACAAAAGGCTGTCCAGGATATTCCAGAAGTTGTATCTCACCTGCACACATATGAACAGTTATTGCATCTATACACTTACTGCTAAAGAAAGCTCATTTAAATTAAGAATTGTACTCATGACATTCACCAGAGCTGCAAAAATGGTCATCTATATCACATATGGCACCACATTTTGAGTAACTAACCACTTTTTTCAGTCTAGCAAAGATATACCAATAAGATTATTTTTTAAAGAGTGAAAGATAAGAAAACAAATTCATAGATATAAAGCCAAGGTCATAAAGTAGTTTACAATATTATTCCCCTAGCACACTTATCAGGAACACTGTCCAGGAGGTTTGTTGAGTCACTACGAAAACTTTTCAGCATTAAAATTAATCAAAGATTTAAAAATAGTGGCCACTACCTATTTTTTCATCATTGCATGATTCAGGTATCAGAAATGTCATCTAGATCTTTCTTATAGTCTAGATCTTTCTTATAGCACTTATAGTGCTGCTCGATTACAGTCCAAAGAAAATTCAGATAAAGAAAAATTCAGGGGAAAAAGCCTTTCAGAACACGAAGATTTGAAAAAGAATTTCTGTGCTTATCCCATAAGCAAACTTGATCTTGTCAAGGACTAGCACTTCCATACCCACTGGGGTCTTCCTAACAAACATTAGCATTCAAGAGCTGATTTTTTACATTAGCAGCATGGATCTTGTGATACAAGCATTTACTAATACTCTGGAGAAAAAAAAAAACCAACTAGTTTACTGAGAAAACAGTCTCTGAAACATCAGAGTAGCATGAATTAAGCATTAACAGAATTGTTTGAACTGTGCAAGTACCATGACTTTACAAGTGGATTTTAAAACACAAACAAAATATAGATGCAGTGGCTTTGCACAAAATCTGTATGCTATTTTGCTCCTTATTCACTGCATATAAAATTAACAAGTTTGAGAAACAGACTCTTCTGTGTCTTGGCCGATAACATTCTCTCACATGTGTTCTATTTACCATCACTTTCAAGATTAGACAAACCAAAAGCTTCTCCTCTTAAAAATATCCTAACTGCATTAGGAATGCTGGACAGGGAGAGATGAAAATCTAAAATTACTGCAAAAGGAATAAAGTCAATCATTATTCAAATACCTCTCTCTCAGTACAATACAACCTATGAGAATATTTTACCTTTAAATCACTGAGGGTCAATACTTGATGTATATTCAGGAGACAAGATAAAAAAAATATTTTAAGACTGAAGTGTGAAACACTCAAAAGGTAGGCTGAATTAAGATTACATATATTATATATTAAGATTTCCTTCCATTACCCTCTCCTTCATTTCCACCCACTTAGTATTTCCTAAGAAATAACCTAATTCAGACTCCAACCTTCCCTCAAGAAAATCAGTAACTGATTTAGACACCTCCCCTTCTACCATTACAGCAGTCCCACAGTTCTACTCCTTTCCACATTTTTAAACCAAGCTTTTTGCCGTCTTTTTCCCCACTGTGAAACAGAAGTGTAATGGTTACTATATCTACTGTAAAGCATATGTAAGAGTTGAGGATTAAAAGC